TCTGAAATTCTTTCAACTAGAAGCATCTGCCGGAAAAACCGATGCCGGTAGCGACAAAAACTGCGGAAAACTCTGCAAAAAACGCATCTTCGCACAGGCAGCCCGTGCGTTGCCAATTTTTTTCTTTCTGGGAAGAATGTGCGGATTTAGAGGGATTTAGGTAGCTACCGTTGTGTGTTCACTGCTTTTTTTTCACTTTTCATAAACATTTCGCTGTATCTGCAGGGTTATTTATGATGTCGATCGGAGTTGCTGGTCATATTTGCCGATGATACGATAACTGCCTGGCGGTAGCTGGCTGCGTTCGTGTGTGTGGAGTCACCCACCAGGCACGCTCATTGGCGCCTGCCAAGTGTCACTGAATTCGATATTGGCGCTGCTATGTATGTAATGGCCGCCTGCAGAAAGTTACTGGCCTTAGAACGCAAACGGATGTGGATCCAAATCGACCGAAGTGCTGAAGCGCGTCGGCTTAAAGTCGATATTGGACCCCGCCACTGTCTTTGGATTTCATTCAGGTAATTTCTAGAACTGCTTTTCTCTAGAATTTCTTGTTATTATGGTTTGAAAAAAAAGGAAACACTTTGAGCGTGAACTTTGATTACTCTGTAGGCGATAAATCGGCTGTAGGTCATATTGTCCGGCAGATTGTGCTTGGATTTGGCAAATTATTTATGGGGGAGGAGGGGGCGGGGGGAGAAATTGCCCTTTTTTTTCAATAAAAATTGGAAATAAGAGTTGCTTACCTTGTTTTATTGCAGTGGGTAGTAGCTTTGCGTGTAGCTCGGACGAATAATTATTGTAGTTGAGTTCAGTTAAAAACATTATACGAAAAATGGGAACGATGCCAAGAAATGCATTTTCTCATTATAATATTTAATTCAGGCGCACGTGGCTGGCGTTAGCAAATATGGTTTTTATTTGTTTTGTGTCGACAATTCCATGTCTTATGGAACCTTGCAAGAATCCCGACACAAGCTATATGGATCCTGAATTCGTGTGCTTGCTGATCGAAGGCCGCTGCACAGATCCCGGGTGTATGTGAGGGTCTTTTCGGCGCTCGGAACGACAAGTAATTAGCGGAAGCTCCGTTGCCAAATCTATGGCAAGCAGATCCGGTTTTTCGCCTTTCGGACGCATTGTTTTTGTAAATTTTGTTAATTTTTTATTTGTAGTTTTTTATATACCAATTGTATTGATTGTTAATTCTTGTATTGACTGTTGATTTCGTTATTGCATTCTAAAGTATTAATTTGATTTATGATGTATTAGCGCGCATTACTTGTTGATTGTAACGTTTTGGTTATCGTTCTTTTAGCAGTTTTTTTAAAAGTTATTTTGTTATTTTAATGTATCAGGGTTTTTTTTTCGAACTGTGCAGATTGTACGGATTTACATTTTTTACTCTCGTTGAATATTTGATTATATAGAGTTTTAGTTCGACTAGAATTGGTGCTGTAACTAATCACTTGTGTTTGCTGTTTTTTTTTTTTTTGTTTAATAAAGTATCGTTGTTATTCAAAGTGCTATTTAACCTCTGTTACATACGAAAAGCTGAATGCAGTTACTCCCAGATTTGGTATTCGTTGAAATTCCTATACAACTAGCTTCAGCTTCAGTACACAGTTAAAATATGTGTAAATGGGAATTATCTTCCCATTTCTTTTGTAACTGTTATTCAATAATTATTATAGATTTATCCTAATCCCCCACTCTCCCTAGGGTTGTAAAATTCAAATTCTAAGGTTAAGGCATTGTAAAACTATCCCCTCACTCTCCTCACTTAACATCTACAACTCTGGGGAGGGTAGGGAAGTGGGATAAATCTATAATAATTGTTGGACAACAGTTGCAAAAGAAATGGGAATGTAATTCACGTTTAAATATGATTAGCCAGCACACTGACTGCCGATGCGAGGATGCGTTTTTTGCATAGTTTCCCGCAGGTGTTTGTCTCTAACGGCACTATTTTTTTCCGACAGAAGCTTCTAGCTAAAAAAATTAAGACTGGCCACCAGGACTGTCCGGGAACATCCTCTTAAAATTTAAGCTTCTTAGCCTTTCTGGCTCCCGAGCTAGCAGCTTACTCGCCAAAAATTTGCAGGGACTCGTACGGGGGAAACATACACGCCGGGGGGCTGGATTTAAATTCAACTCCTGCGTGGGCTGGGAACATCTTAAAACTCCAGCTCTCTTGCCTTTCAGGTTCCCGATTTAACCAGTTAGCCGTAAAAAAATTTCACACGTAGAGCCAAGTACATCTGGGGGCTAAATTTGAATTCATTAGATTGTATGTGGACGGGGAGCCGGAATAAAACCATGGTTGCGCAAGATTGTACGCATGTTTGTAAGCGAGTGTTCGTTTCTCATCACAAGCGTCGTAAAACGTAGCCGTCCGCCAGTTATAAAATTGAAAACCCCAGTTTAGCCCGCAAGAGCGCAGTTGCAGTGTATCACTTTTCATTGTGGATAATTCTATAACGGGCTTTGGTGCTGTCTAGATCGGACGTATTCGCTTCTTTTTCATTTTTTTGTCTTTTTTTTTGGTTTCTGGAGTCCGAAGCAGTTACGATGAATAGATTCGATCATTAGGTTTCTGGCAACCCATTATCAAATTGCAAACCTGATCTACAATCCACTTAACTAGGGCAAAAAGGGGTTCATTAACAAAGCATCCACACAGTTCCAGTTGATCTTGTAATAAAGCCGTGCACTATGAATGACATCTAAACCATTAACCCTTTGCTACAAACTTTATTGAAATCCCAATCATTTCACAACGAAGTCAAAGAAACATTTTATCAGAAACAGTAGTGATAATAATAATGACAGTAACAATAATAATTGTGATAGTAATGATGATAATAATAATAGCGACAGTGGTGATTTTCGGAAGTTAGCACAATTTCAGGAGAAAGCCAATGCGGACAAGCTAACAGACAAAAGATTTCAAGCTAATAGTTTTCAAAGAATACATACATATGCGAATCCAAGACAGACTCCTGGAGGGCGGAGGGGGACAGGAGTCCCCTCCCACCCCGGGATAATGCAAAAACTAGGAAGAATTATAACACTGATACTCAAAATTACTTTAGTTTAGAGTTAATTTAGCCTTGGCTTTAGACCCCGACTTTTGCAGCAGTGCTGTGCCATTGGGAGAAGGGAGGAAGAGGGGCGAGGGTGAGGGAGGGAGGGTTGGACGAAAGATCCTGGATCCGCTTATGAATACACATAAACAATTCGCCTGCTGTTTGAGTTTTCTGTCATTGTACACTATGAATTTCCAACATTCTACGATCAGAATAGAATAAATTCCCGTTACGTTGTCGGAGTACCAACAAAGGTAACAAAAGAATGCTGCTAGCCAACAGCCCTTTTTATGTGTGTACACCAAAATAATGCTCCGATAAATGATAAAAGTGCGTGTGAACATGAGAGTACACAGATTCGGGATGCATTTTGCTGTAAATTGTCGCAAGCTTCGAAATTTGTTCACTTTGGAATTTTTTGCTGTCGAAAACATTGCTATCCTTGTACCATAGCGACATCGTTCTTGCATAATACGCTGTTTCGTCCTTGAATTGCTCGATAAGTTCGGCGATTTTGGCTGATGGCTCCGGCCAAATGTTTGCAGCTTCTTCCGTAATGATTTGCATTGGGATTTCTTCAACGTTGGTCCACTTTTTAAAACTACCTACACACGATGCCCTTAGTCGTGTTATACTGTTTCCACGTGTGGCGTTAATTAAACACACAGGTGTTTTACCAGACTGCGAGTAAAATAAACGATTTCGACTTACGTCGTCCAAAATTCCAGCATGAGCCTAAAAACTGATCAATTGAGAAGTAGTACATATTTGCGATTGAAAGTAGGAACATGGCTGTTGCAGTTTCCATGGGCATGCTAATTGGCAGCGCGTATCCTGAGAATGAATCGCGGCCTTAATTAAGCATTATTAAAGGTTTTTATGCGTTTTTGCTGCACAGCGATAGAGTGCTGCAACAGGTAGCAAAAACGCGTATTATAACGACCCTGTCTGTGTGTGCATGTGTGTGGGTTTGGGTATTTCAGCTCGCCAACCACATAAGCTTTGAAGCTGAGATTTTGCTAGTATGTTCCCCGGCCAAGTGCCATCCAGGAGCGTGGTACCAACCTTCACGCACTTCTCCTCTTGTTAACTCGGGAACGTGAAAAGCTAGAAAGCTACCTCCTGTTCCGAAGCCTTACCGACACTTTACACTGATGCACAGGGGCTTTAAGGAAATGTTCCCTACCCATGTGTGACTAAAAGATTCTAAATTCAGCTCCCTAAGATTGCCCGGGCTTTATGTACAGGCATGTGAAAATCTTGGCGGGAAAACTGATAACTCGAGTATGTGAAAAGCTAAAAAGTTGAAACTTTGAGGGAGAGTTGAATTTATCATGGCACTTTCGAAGACAAGAGCACTGCTGGTTTACTTTTGCGAAGAAACGGGAGCAAAGGCGTATCGTGCCTTGATCCTTTAAAATAATTGGCCAACGCACGGGCTGCCCGTGCGAAGATGTATTTTTTGCAGAGTTCCCCGCAGTTTTTGTCGCTACCGGCATCGGTTTTTATGCGTTTTTGCCGTGC